TTACATCATTTTCCACAATTCTCTATACCCGATCATTCTCTTTCCCACAATTTTTTGTTTCCCATAATTTGTTTACTCCCCAAATTTCCTTTCCTCTCCCACAAATACATTCTGTTTGTTTTTAAATAGAAATTGTTTTCTGTTCTGTTCTCCCTTAGTTGCCATAGGATGTTTACAATTGAAAAACAGTTCTCAAGTGGCTGGGTCCAGCTTCTTTAAACATTGGGCTATAGGCTGGCCCACTTCTCTATTCTGTTCCATAGTTGTCCATTTTGTCCCACAATTTCCCGTTCTATCCCATAATTCCCCATTCTCTTCAATTTTCCTTTTGCTCACAAAATTGCCCATCCTCTCCCACAATTGTTTATTATATTAAATGACTAGAAAGCTTATAATTATGTCTTTAAATGTGTATTTATCTTACCTGCCTATGAGTTTTCTCAGGTAGAAACTATATCTTATTGACGTTGCTAGCCTCAGTGGTACTCACAGTGTGTCTCAGCTCAGGGGGCCAGTTCACACTCTTACCAGTCTAGTAGAAGAAGAAAAAGGAGCCTCAGAAGGGAAATCAACTCTTTGCTTCCTTCATGAAGAAAGCCTTGCTGTGAAAAAAAAATTCATCCTAAATAAGCACTGTGTTTAGTAATATACTGGATTTACATTCTACTTGTTTTTAAATTCATGACAGAGCACATATGCTGGAAAGAGAGAGAAGCCCCAAAGGCTTGGTCATGTCATGGTCTCATTTTTTCTGTCCTCAGTACTGCAGCCTACCAGGCTCCTGAGCACAGAGGTTTTCAGACCAACTGTGCTGGGGACTCAAACCTTGCAGTAGGCATGTGGCTTCCAGCTCCTTGGTCCAGTACACTGCTGGCTGCACTACTGAAGCTTGGCCAGTTATGCATTCTAATTCAGCTTCTTATCTCAGTTTAAACCAGTAAGTAGGGACTGATAGACTAGCACTTGAGTGGAACTGCCCTGTGCCATTTATAGCCTAGCTCTTGATGCATAATTGAGCAGGCACTAAAGAGGTACAGCAATGAATGAATCTTGAACATTCATTTAGCAATATTTATGGAACATCTACTGATGTTGCAGATATGCCATTAAAGTGCTGAGAATACAAAGTTGGCCAAACTAGTCAAAGTCCCTGCTGTTATGGAACTGACATTCTACTAAACAAACAATTCAATATACTAGCAGATAAACAATAACTTGACATTGTGAGAAACATTAAGAAGATGAAATAGGTAGCAGAGATGGAGAAGTGAAGCTTCTACTCAAAATGTCCTTCATGGTACATCAGGTTTGCATCTCCTGGGAGCTTGTTTGAAATGCAGAATCTCAGGCCACATCATAATACCACTAAGTCAGTTCTGCAGAGGAACGTATTCCCCAGGTGGTCCCTGTGCACAGCACAGATTAATAGGCTCTTGATAAAGCTCCAGATATACTTGCCAGGAAAGATGTCTTTAACAAGGTGACATTCTAGCTAAGAATTGAATGATGAGAAAAACGCAGTCATATAGAGATCTGGACAAGGATTGGTCCAAAAAATAACAGTGAAGGAAAATGTGTTGACACAGGAATGAAAGGGGAAGACCAGTGTGGGTAGAACTGAATGAGAAAAGCACCTTGGAACCTCCATCCTAGATAAAAGATGATCTGTAGGCTACCCTCTGTTCAGGCAGATCCCCAGGGCCTGTGTCCTCACTTAAACAGGAAAGTTTTGATAGTCAATTTAACATGCTGTATTTTGCAATTTTGCCTATAGTTCACAATGAGGGGACCTGAGTGTCTGATATTTACTGAAGAGCCTGGGGCCAGATGGTAGCTTGTTGATAAAAAAAAAAAAATGGTGCTCTGCAAAGCAATTCCACATTGGGAAGGGCGCCAGTTCAATCTGGAGACCTCCCTGAGTGTGTTGGGCACATACTTGCCCATGATCATGGGATGGCTGGAGATTGGGGGTGGATCACAACATTGTACCCTGTTGTGAGTGTGTTCTCTCTCTCATGGAAGACATAGATAAACTTAAAAGTAAAACCTACTGGGACCAGCAGGTGGTGTGATGGTTAAGGTGCTGGACACTCCCACATGGTCGACCTCAGTTCAAGTCCCAGAATTGATGACTTACTTTCTCACTTTTCTTCTCTCTCTCTCTCTCTCTGTCTGTCTCTCTCTCTCTGTGTGTGTGTGTGGTCAAATTAAAATAAATAAATGAATAAATAAAAAAATAAATAATTGTTTTAAAAAATAAAACATATCACAAGAATCATTGATGTGAGTGCTTGCACAAAAGTCCTACATGTAAGACCTCTATTTCTACAAAACCGAGGTACAGCACCAGGAAGATTTTTGCTGCAGTCACTTACCCATCCAGCACCCACAATACTGTTAATGGATCAGAGAATTTTTTCTTTCTAAGTCTGGACAAAACCCTAGAAATTCCTAACATGGTAATTCAGGCAGCTACTATAAGTAGTTCAAAAACTTGACATGTGAGTTGAAACCTATTTGCCATCCTGAGTAAAAGATGATCTGAAGGCTACCCTCTGTTCAGGCAAACCCTCAGGGCCTGTGTCCTCACTCGAACAGGAAAGTTTTGATAGTCAATTTAATGTGCTGTGTTTTGCGATAGCACCTACAGTTCACAATGAGGGGACCTGAGTGTAACTGGTTTTGACACTTCCCATGTAGTTCACTACGTCTTCCTTAGGAGGAAACGGGATTTTTCTCAGGACTAAAATTCAAGAAAAAGTGTGCTTCTAGATAAACAAAACAAAAATGAAAAACTTAGTTGATTTTCATCCTGTAAGCACTGGAAACCTTAAAAATGATCTCTATTTCCTCTTTTCTGTAGCTATTCAAAAACTTAGGGTCAAATTTCTGGCTTAGGGGCTCAGAGGTGGTACAGAAGTGTGAAACTGCAAGCTCTGTGAGTCTGGCCCTCATTCCTGGTGTGTGCCTATGATCCTGAGCTGGCTGGGGTGGGGGGAAGATCATGGTTTAGGGATCTTGTTGGAGAGCTGTTTCTGTCTGTCTATCATGTCTCTCTTGCCCATGGAGGAAATGAATAAATGAACTTAATTTTTTTTTCTGGCCTTCCTTTAACAACTCTCCTGGATCCAATGGAGTGTAGACTGTACTTTTAAATATTAATCTTACCATAATGGAGTGCATTATTCTCCTTCCATTCAGCTCCTCTTTTTCTGGTTCCTTCTACTGTTTCTTGTATCTGGTAATGTCTATATCTGAGTAACATGCCTCAAATGATCATTTGTGGAAGAAAGTGGTGTAACTACTTGTGTAAAAATCAACTCAGTCATTTATGTAGGCTAGATCAATTTCTGTGAGTTCATTTTTCAGGCAAAAAAAATGACTGACAGTTGAAACATTTTATAAATGAGGCAAAGTTCTCAGGGTCAGAGTAAGCTTAATAAAAGTGTTGTGTTGAAGCTTGTTCTTTTCTCTGTGTTCCTTCTAGCGCAACATTTTGAATATTCTCATGGTTTTCAAGCCAGAAATGAAATAGAGTGTGGGAAGAGAAAAAAAGGAGCTAATGTATACCATCATAAAATCTTACTCGTTGGCATATGAAAAGATATGAATAGCAAATCTAACTGCTACAAGCTGTGAACCTTTCTACACATATGAAAAGGGTAACTGTTCAATGAAGATTATTGAGAATTTATTGTGTAAAGAGGTGTACTGAGGGGACTAGCAGATGGCATAATGGTTACGTCGCTGGACTCTCACATGACTGACTGTGGTTTGCGTCCCAGATCCAGCAGCTTTAAACTCATGATAGATGTGTGTGCCTACATGCCCAAGGTCCTGAGAAGAGAATGGAAGAGAAGGGATTGCGGCATGGTCATTCCCCTTGGGGTGGGGAGTTTCTCACTTTCTGTCTCTCTGTCTCTCTGGCAAGCACACATGCCCTACAGTAAAAATCTCTCTTAAAAAAAAAAGAAAGAAAGAAGTGTACTGAGTACTATAAAAGAGGTTTCCTGTGTTTGCTATACAAGAATATTTCTACAAATAGGATCAAGACCACCTGTGATTACCCAGTCCTTTTCCACCTATCACCCCCTTCCCACATCTTCCCTAACTTTCTCATCATTCCTTGTCATATCCAAACCCAAGTTGGGACAATTTCAGATGGCAAAATCCTTGAGGCTTGTCTTAAAATATGATTTGAAAGAATGAACCAGAGACTTATGTAGAAGGAGAAAGTTGGTTAAAACCTCTTCACATTTTGCTTATTGAAGAAAACCCAGGGTTGTTAGTGGAGAGAGCAAGGCTGCAGAATAATCTCAGAGCACCGGGATGCAACCAGAGGTTCAGTCTCAGTGGGGCGATGTCTCCACAGCCCCTGGACCGCAGGAGGGCGCAGGGTGCCTAGGGAGCCATCAGGAGACGGAAGTGCAGGAATTCTGTTGACTCCGTTCATCTGCCTTGCTCTCTCCACAGCTGCACAGTTCTGGGTTAGAGGATCTGAGAACTGGCTGGAAGGGACACAGGTCCACAGAAGACGTGAAAACTGGCTCGAAGAAACCCCAGTGAATTGGACATGAAAACTAGCGGGAAAGGTCACGTCCAGGGCTTGTTTCCCTACTGAGTCAACCTGTTTTCAACACATCAGGTCGTGATGTTTGGAGATGGGAAAAACCTGGGGAAAGTCATCTTTTTGACCAGGTTAGTCTGAATTCACACCGCGAACGCGGCCTGTGGCGGGCGGGGGTTGGTATGGTGGCGGGATGGCGTGGGGCGGGGGCTGGAGCGAGCGGGAGTGGAGGCGTGGCCCAGGACCGAGGGGCGAGCCCAGGAGGAGCACAGGGGAATGGCTAGGATGGAACGGGCGTGACTGTGGGGGGGGGGGGGGGGGG